AATGTGACATGTGTGGTCAAACTCACACTTACACTCACGCTCACACAATGATACCTACACAGACATTCGACATGTGTAGACACTTGACACACATGTATAGGTATGCATGTAGTATCAGTGGCATAGGACACATCTTGATGCCTAGGCTGACACGTGTACTGCAGGCATGCATACATATGTGTCTATAAACACATTTGCCACCTACAAGCAATTGAATAAATATCCTTTCTAGAAACATGGGTACATGCAAATGTGCACAAACCCCACATGCCACATATGTGTGCAGGTATGCGTGCTGGTCTTAGAACTCTGTAACTCCCACACATATATGTGCAAGCATGATTTATGCACAGATAAATCATCGGATACATGGGGAAAAGATGAACATTACAAGTTTACGTATGTGTCCAGCACAGTGTCCCTGGGATGGAGGGATGGAATTTGAAGAAGGGTTTGGTGAGAGGAGTTGGAGTGACCCAGGGGCCTCAGGGTTCCAACACGGGCCCCAGTGGCTCTGCTCCCAGAGCTGTGGGCAGAGGGCACAGCCCCGGGAGCCCTGCTCCTGGGTCTGGCTGGAGGTGAGGCTCGGGGGCTTCAGGACTTGCCTACCCCGGTGCTTCTGCTTTGGTACAGCCTCCACCGCAGCTCTGGACTCCCTGCTTCTTGGTTCCCGAACCCAGCAACCTGGCAGGAAAAGATAAATATGAGCCCTGCGTCCCCACCCCTATGGACCTCATAACAAGGCAACGGTTTCCAGGGCAGAGGCTGGATTTCAGGATTTGGGAGGAGAAGTGGGGGATGGTATGTTTGCAGGGTGTCCGGTCCTGAAGTGTACTTTTCTGCTGAGTCCTTATTTGCCCGCTCCCTTCGAGTGCCTGTAGCTGTGGCCTGTGGGGAGCAGGGTAGGGCTGCTTTCGTGTACCTTCCAGTTACACGACTGCTAGGCCCCTTGGCAGCCCGGCAAGCTGAGGGCTGTATGGAGGGTGTGGTAGGGCCAGTTAGGGCCTGACAGAGAGTGGGTCTGACCTGGCCTATGATGCTCCAATATGAGACTTTCCTGCTAGAGGGGCTTGGGGGAGTGAGGTGACCAGTGAGGTTGGCAGCTGTCTTTGACCCGGTGCAAAGGCTGATGTGACCTTGGAGACAGATTCTGTGTAGCACCTATGAACCCCCCATGGCTCCCCATGCCCACATAGGTACCCTCTCTATGAGCTACCTTAGTGAGTGGTTCTCCATAGCCCCCAGACACCCAAGCCAGCATTAAAAATTTTTTTTTCTTTATTGATTTGAGAGAGGGAGAGAGAGATAGACACATTGATGAGAGAGAACATCGACTGGCCACCTCCTGCATGCCCCCTACTGGGGATCAGGTGCCACAACCAGGGCATGTGCCCTGACCAGGAATCGAACTGGAGACCTTCTGGTGCATGGGTCGACACTCAACCACTGAGCCACACCGGCCGGACCAAGCCAGCATTTTGGAGCATCCTTGCCTTTCTCCCCATTGTCCATCCATCCCGCAGTCCTTTTGGTCCCACTGGCTCTTCAATGGTTCCCTTTTCCCAGGCACTCAATTACCCAATGTTTATCGAGCACATTCTAAAGCTAGTTGCTGCTCCAGGTGTGGGGATAGATCAATAGCTGAGGCAGACAGTCCCTGCTCTCCAAGGAAGGGGTCTGACATGTGCACGCACCTGTGTGTATGCACTGCACCTGGGCACACGGACCCTGTGCAGGGGGTGAGTGCGGTGCCACGCAGGTGGGCAGAGGACTGGACCATCCCACTTCTATGTCCTTTCCTTACCCTGTGAGCCCTGTGTGCATTCTCAGGCTCTGAGGAGTCTGGGGACTGGGTGTGACCTTCAGGGAGCAGCTGGTGAGTGGGTATAGGGAGAGGGGCTGGGTGAGTGTCCAAGTGTCAGTCATCAGCCAAGTGACACCTCCATCCCTCAGAAAGGGTCTGTAGGTGAAAGGGGGACAGGCCCAGGTCCTCAGAGCCCTGGGGACCATGAAGGTTAAGGGATGAGCGAAAGAACAGTCCCTCAGGATCGTCCCTACGGAGGCGAGAAGGGTCCGGAGAGAGAGGAGGAGGAAGGAGCTGTCCTTAGTTGGCTACTGCCACAGGGCCTGGGCTAGGGGAACTGGAAACTCTGAGGAGCAATCCCAGGGGAGTGGAGCCTCTAACCAACCTGGGAACAGGGAGAAGCTGCCTAGACTTGGCTGAATTTGACTGTTGCCCTGTGGAGGTGTGCTTGGACTGGCACGTAGAAAGTGTTTCAAATCTGGGGTCAGGGCCCTGGTTCCAGTTGTGTTTTTGCGTGCCTTGCGGTGTGGCCCGGGCCAGTCCCTGTCCCTCTCCGGGCCTCGGATTCCCCATCTCAGGTCCATGACTTTAGCTAACTTAACTCCATGGATTTGGCCTGGCCTGGCTTTGATCTCCTGAGGGGACTGGCAGGGGAACTCGGGAAGGTTTGTCCCATACCTGCTTCCAGCCTAGAACCAGAGCAGCGCGGGGACCAGCAGGCAGCAGGGGGCTCAGGGACTGGGGAGGGGAGGCTGGGAAGGCAGCCGTCAGAGGCCCAGGCCTCAGTGGGAGGTCAGCCTTGCAGGCTGCTGACATCAGGGCTGGTGAATGTGCAGGGAGTTCATCCAGGTTCATCAGCCCTCACCTCCCTCATAGCCTGGTACTGGGCAGGAGCTGAGCTGGAGGAGGGTGTGAGGTGGGGGCCTGGAGCCGAGTAGCAGCCTCTCTCCACCTGGCATGGAGCCAGCTCTTGGGTGGCACTGGCCTTCATACTCCACTCCCACCCAGAATGGTCCTCTGCCCCTCTTCCTCATGTTCCTGCTCATCTCTTATCTCCTAGGCTAATCTCCAGCTGACTCAATGGTCTGACTGCTGAGGAAGAGGAGCCAAGGGGGATGTTTGATTCTTGTACTGTCTGCCTTCCAGAGCCCACAGGGAGCCTGGTCTCCGCCTTTGACAGAGTCCCTACTTCGGCTGCAGACGGAGCCCGGCCTGCCTCCAAGCAGCCCTCTCAGGCATTCTCATGGCGGATCAGGCGAGACCAGTAACCTATGTGAGGTGGGAGAGTGTGGATAGATCCTGGAAAGCCCGTCTCTGCAGCCTCTCATCTCATCCAAACTGTTAGGGTTCCCACCCCAGAGACCTGGCCAGCCTTCCTTCCCTTGGAGAATAGGAGAGAGGCTGGACCTCTGCCTCCACACCGCCACCTATGCTGCTGGACCAGGCCCATGCCCAAGTGCACATTGGCTGTGGGGCCAGGGGTCAAGCTGGATGGTCCCTCCTAAGACTTCCCCACATGGTCCTTCCTTGGGTCCTGCAAGGAAGGGCCTGGCGTTTCCGGCTGCGATCGGGGTCTCTGAAGGAGCTGCAGGGGCCGTCTAGGGTGGAAGCAGCGGAAGCAGCAGCATCTCTCACGGTCTCTCTCAAAGATTCTACCCGAGAAAGAATGCAGGGAGTGGTTTGGCTTACCCTGTTCAGACAGCTATTTGGAACACACACACACACACACATACATGCAACATGCACGCCTTTTGGCACTTGACTTTCTCATGAAATAATTGCTGGAAGGCTGCTTGGATTAGGTAACCCAGCGTTCCTTCCTGTCCCCATGGTGGAGGGGGAAGGGGAATCAGCACTCAGCATCTGTTAGGCGGATCCAGCTCCTTTGGGGCAGTGCAGGCCAGTCGAGGCTCCACACAGTTTTGGGAGCCCAATGCAACAGGAACAAGCCTTTCAGCTCTCTCATTCCTGGGGTCATCTGGCTGTGCTCACTTAGCTACTGGGTCTCCCTCAGGTGGGCCAGGCCTCAGCAGGAGAAGGCTAATCAGGAAAGGTTTTTTGCACAGACAAGGATGGGATGTTCCCATTTACATTTGAAATCAGTTTTACAGTGTTCCAATATACACGGACATTTACATATCTGTACCCATCACCCTATGGGAACACTTCCATGCCTCCCTTTCTGGTGATGGTTGGGGGTGGGGTGTTGGAAGTGAGGAATATCTGGGTTCAGGCATAAAAGGACCATTGAGAGGGAAGAGATGTGGGAGCCCTGGCCTGTGACTGAGACTCTGGTGGTGGGAGGGGGTGATTAGTTCCACAGTCGCCCCTCCCAGGATGTGGAGATTAGGTCCTAAGCACACCTTTCCCTTTGACTGACCTTAGCCTCTCCTGATCTCCTGACAGTAGCCCCCTGGTGAGCCTGGAGCCCTACTGACCACTGGCAGAACCGCACAAAGATCATGCTAGAGTGGGGCTGCGAGGGGAGGGACAGTGAGGGAATCTCACCACTCGTCTTTTTCTCTTTTAGGTCTTATAACAGGTGCAAAAAAAAAAAAAAAAAAAAAAATTCAGAGAAAGGTCCCACAAGTGAGTATGTGCTCGTGAAAGCCGTGTCCCTGTAGTAGAGAGGGCAGTGCCCGGCACAGGGTGAGGGACAGGGGGGGCCTGCTGCTCTCAGGCCTCCCTGAGAAGTGGGGAAGCCCCCACCCCCAATAGGACCAGGGACCTGGGGGTGAGAACGCCCACGGAAAGCATGAGCCTCGTGTGTGGTTTCCAAAGTCAAGTCCACTTGGGAGGGCAAGGCCTTCTGGTGGACCCAAGCCCCTCTCCCAGGCCTCACGCCGCCGCTGAAGGGGGGGCTCAAACTGAGCACTTCCCCCTCGACTCGCACCAAGGGAGCAGAGAGGCGGGGCGAGCTCTTCCATGGTGTCTTTGGGGGCCCTCACCCCGCACAATCCCGAGGGTTTCCAGGGGCTGGGGCGGCCAGGAGGCGGCCCCGGCCCCGCCCCCGAGGCCCCGCCCCCGCACGGCGCCCAGTCCCCAGGCTCCCGGGGTCCGCCCCGCCCTCCCCCCCGCCCCTCCTACTGCCCCTCCAGCGAGCTCAGCTCTCCACTGCCAGTCGCGACTGAGAGCTGCGGAGCTTGGCTTCTCTCGCTTCAAGGTTCGTTCTCAGCCCTGCGCACCCCGCTCGGTCATGGAGCCGGCCCCCGATGCCGCGGAGGCGCGCGCGGTGCACGAGGCGCTGGGCCGCTACGAGGCGGCGCTGGAGGGTGCGGTGCGCGCGCTGCACGAGGACATGCAGGGGCTGCAGCGCGGCGTGGAGCGGCGCGTGGCCGATGCGCTGCGCCTGGCCGGCCCGCTGGCGCGCACCGTAGCGGAGCTGCAGCGCGACAACCAGCGGCTGCAGGCGCAGCTCGAGCGCTTGACGCGCCAGGTGGAGGCACTGGGCTTGGCGACCGGGCTGTCCCCCGCGCCCGGCACCCCAGGCACGCCCAGCCCTCCGCTGGCGCCAAGCGTCCCAGACCACGCGCCCCGCCTGGGCTCCGCACGCTTCGCCAGCCACGCCACCTTCTCGCTTTCGGGCCGTGGCCAGGTGAGCCTCAGGAAGCGCGTGCGTGTGCGCCGGGGGAGTGGGGCTGCAGGTGTCGCCCAGCCGTCCCGAGTGTGTGCAGTCTGTGGGGCTGGGGGTGTGCCTCCACTGGCCGCGAGGACTTGGTGGTGGGAGTTCGGTCGCCACTCCGGAGTTGGAGAAGGCCGAAAAGCACTATCTTGGGCGGCCTGCTGCACCTGTCTCAGGCCCCCTCCCTTCTTTGGAGCCGGTCCTTGTTTGCCCCAAGTTCTGTCTCCCTCTCCTCGCTGTCCGGTGACACTAAGGGCTTGGGCGCTGAGGTCTGGCCCCTGACCTGGCTACACGGCCCGAGGCCTCGCCGGCATGTTGGAATGGTCAGCATCCCCTGTTCCCCTACCTCCATTCACTTCACCCCCCGCGTTGCCGCTTCACTGAGGCCTGACCGTTTCGTTATTGATTAACCCAGATTTAGAACTCAAGCCCCGTTGTGGGGGGAGGGGAGGACGCAATCTGGTCGGGTGCAGGCTGGCAGCGGTGTTTGAGAATCGCACTGCAGGGGTCAAATCCCTTACCGTGAAGGGAGAGATGGAGAAACCAGCCTTGAGCAGTGTCTAAATTCCTGAGCTCAGTGACTGGCCAGAGGCCCACACCGCGTGGGGGTGGGGCGGAAGCAGTTGTGGACCAGTCACTACCCTGAGCGTGGGGCCTCTTGGGTGGCCGGTTTAGAATTGTTTCCATGGGGTGTGCGGTGGCCCTTAGGTGAGGTTTTTTCGCCCTGCTCAGACATGTGCTCTTGGGTTGGGTTTCCAGGGTCTGGGTGTGAGTAGTCTGCACCTGCTGCCCCTCCTTGGTTCAGTCCATCGCGCACTCAGGTCTCTTGTGTGGGCGGGGCTACACCTCAAGGGGCTAGGGGGAGGGGATCAGATTAGCCCTTGCCCCTGGAGGTCCCTGACCAGGTGGAAGATGGCTCCAGACAGAGCAGTACCAACAGTGCAGGCAGCCAGAACAGATGTTCTGCTCCAAACACAATCATCCCTTCCCAGTGGGTGTCCAGGAAGGCTTTGTGCTGAAGGCGCAGGGCTTGCTGCTGCTGGTGTAGATGGGGGTGCTCTGGGGGGCTGTGCATGCATCCCCTGAAAAACTAAAAGGACTCTCTGGCCAGAGGGGAGCCTGGTGGGTATGAGAGTGGAGGGGCAAGTTTGAAGGCCCCCTGGATGTTGGGCAAGGGATCTGGGCTTTGTCCCTGGGGCATGAGAGGTACTTCAGCATGTGCTGGTGGCAGAGCCCCTGCGTGTCCCAGTGCTCCATATGAAGTGTCTGGAAATATGAATACATTTAATTCTGTCCTTTGAGTGTGACACACTACATGTCCATGGTATAAAGTTACCACTGTAGGCTCACATGCGCCTAATAAACTGTGTCATCGACTATTTCTGAGGTTTTATATTTTTATTATTATTTAATATATGTATATATATATTTTAGAGAGAGAGGAAGGCAGAGAGAGATAGAAACATCGATGTGAGAGAGAAACATTGATTGGCTGCCTCCTGCATGCCCCCAACTGGGGATGGAGCCCACAACGCAGGCATGTGCCCTGACTGGGAATGGAACCAGAACCTCTGAGTTCATGGGAGCCACACTGGTCGGGCTTGAGGTTTTATTTTAACATGCATATGCTATTTGTCTGCTCATGGAAGCAATGTATATGCACATGCATACACATACATATGTGAGAGGATTCTCTCCAGTCATCCAACTTTTTCAGTGGGAGTTGGTCATAATAACCTGAGGTGAACTAGTCCTCTCAGTTATGGGGGTGGTGGGTGAGGGACACTGGGCAGGGAAGGGACGAGGTCCTCCTTGTATCTGGCAAGCTCCCTCAAGGATGAATGGAGGGTTGGAGGGTGGCTGGAGACAGGCTAGCTTAATTATGAAGGCCCAAGGAGAGAGGACAGTCATAGCTGGGGCATAGGTGATGATGGAGAGCTAGGGTTGCCTTAGAGAGGGATCTCGGGGGGAGAATCAGCGGGGTGAGATAGTCTGAATAGTAGGGAGGCAGAGGGAGGAGCTCGCCTGAGGTCCTCCTGGGTCACAGATCTGGTGGGTCATGCCAAGTGTGAGGGGCTGTGGGACTTCCAGGGTGAAGCTGTCCCAGAGCAGGTGGAGTCACCAATCTGTTGCACCGAGAGTGGTCAAGGCCACAAGTTAAGGAGATTCCAGGGCAGAGCTGGTAGTTGAAGCCCTAGGGTGGGTGAGGTCTTCAGTTGTGCAGAAGGAGGGGGTGGGCAGGAGCCCTGGGCAGAGGCTCAGCCTCCAGCACTGTGTCAGCAGCCACAGTTTGTCATGCTGCAGCTTGGCCACAGTGCACCCCAGCAGGTGGGCCAGGCGCAGCACCTCGGCCACGCACGCGCCACACCACGTGCTGCAGCCCCTGCGTGTCCTTGTGCATGGAGCTGCCAGGGAGCTAGGAGGCCCTGGAGAACCCACCCTTAGACGTGGAGAGAGGGGAGCCTTCTCCATTGTTGGGAGTCAGCAGGGGTGCTGCAGCGGCCGGGATGCGGGGGAGAGGATGGAAACGTGGGTGGGGAGTAGGTTGTGGACTTCAGAAAGGCCTGAGATGAGGTGGAACAGCAAGCATAGCTGAGTCTGTGGGTAGAGGATAGCCAGGGCCTCCAGTGGGGTCAGAGGCTCTGCAGCCCTCTGAGCATGGCTCCCTGGGCCTGCAGCAGCTTCCCCCCATCAGACTGGAAGCACTGGTCCCCACTTCCCTTGCAGCCTACCTCTCAGAAGCCCTGACACAGGCTCCCAGTCAGTTTCTGGCCATCCACATGTTCCCGTTCATGTGCTGTGACCAGCAGTGTGTTACTGGGCACTTGGTCATGAACAGGGAACCAGGGCTCCAGGGCAAGACTGGACAGTGTCGTGGCTGGGTGCAGGGGCTGCTGCTTTTCTGGCCTTTCACACTGTCTCTGTCGCAGGTGGGTTCTGCGTGTGAGGGTCTCATTCGCACACTGTAGCCAGTGGTAGCCGTGGTCAGGCATTGTTGAGGCTGGTATAATACCGCCTCTCTGTAACAAGCAATGAGATTAGGAGACCCTTTTGCATCTTGCTGTTTTAAAGTGGGGACTATAGGGGGTGGAGGTGGGTCATCATACTCATCATGTAAATGTACCCTGAACTCTGAGTACACAAACCTTGACCTTGCTAAGGACCTTGCTTATCTGGCTTGTACAGGTCTGATGAGAGCCAGGTAGTGAGAAGAGAGAAGAGCAGCAGGGAGGCTCCAGGAGGAGGGAGAGGGCAGGGCAGTGGGGTGGGAGTAACCAGGGAGAACTCCCTGTAGGAGGCCTGAGTCCCTGGAGCGGACAGAACTTGTTTGGGGGCATTTTCTGTGAGGCCTTGGGGATATCTCCTCCCAGCTCGACCTCAGTGTTCTTGTATCTAAATAAGGGGATTGGCCCAGCCCAGCTGGACCTCTCGCACTGAGCGGGGTGGGTGGTTATAATCAGCCCAGAGTGTTCACAAAGTGTCCATAGAGCCACAGCTGTGGTCTGGTGGGCAGAGGGAGCTGGCCGGGGGCCTCCGGTGGATGATAGCAGCCTGAGGCCAGGCCAGGCCCTGGAGGCCGGGCCACTGTTGTGCCCTGGAAATGTCCTCTTGGCTGAGCTGGAGCCACTGGGTCCCCAAGGCCGAAGTAGAGGAGTCCCTTAGGAACTACGCCAGGAGCGAGGTGTCAGGCCTGACCATGAAAGAAACCAGACTCGTCTTATCTGCCTTCCTTTCCCAGACACACTGTGTGATAAGGGAGTTAAATGCTTTGGGAGAAGTTTGAATCGAGTCTTTAAAATCATGGTGTGAACCAGGAAGAGAGCAGGGCAGCCCTGTTAACTGGCTTACGATGGGGTTCTGGCCCTATGTGGGCTGGGCTGGGCATGCGCGTGGGCTGCTATGTCCACACAGGAGCCTGCGTGGGACCACGCAGCACCGAGAGTGCCTGAAATACCCTGCTCTCACAGAAGTGTGTGAAAACATCCCCAGGCAGAGGTCCTCCGAAGTCAGACTTTCTGCATCCCCGCCTATCCCTCTAACATTCCCAGGCCCGGGCTCCCTCACAGGCAGCCTCCTCTTCTTAGTTTTTTTTTAAATATATGTTTTGATTTTTAGAGAGTTAGGGAAGGGGAGAGAAAGATAGAAACATTGATGAGAGAGAACATCCATTAGCCGCCTCCTGCATGCCCCCCACTGGGGATTTGGCCCACAACCTGGGCACGTGCCCTGACCAGGAATCGAACCAGTGACACCTTGGTGCTTGGGTTGACGCTCAACCACTGAGCCACACCGGCCAGGCAAGCCTGCCCTTCTTAAAAGAAAAGAAAGCTTGGAGGTGCTCAAGCCAGCCCAGCAGGACCAGTTTCTGTCTTCCGGGCTCTCCAGTGATTTCTACCCTGCACACAGAGTTCCCCTCCCTGGGGCCCAGGCAGGCTGCCCCTCCCCCAAGGAAGACCACGGAAGAATGAGCAGAGGCCTCCTCGGGTGGGCTTGGGGACAAGGAGAAATGCTCGCTGTAGCCCAGCTTGGCTCTTTGGCTCAGGTCCTGCCAGGGTGGTTACCCCACTTACACATTTCCCCCTCGTCTGACTAAGATGGCTCACCCAGCCCTAGGTCCTGGCACACACGTTTGTCTTCAGTTGTCCTCTCTGTCCTCTGGAAGGCCAGAGTACTTTGTGGGCAGAGCCCTGAGTTGGGGTAGGAGACCTGACTCCCAAACCTTGACTCTGCTAGTGCCTCCAGTCTAGGAGTGAGGTCAGGGGTGACCTCTCCACCCTGGGCTGGTGTGTACGTGGGTTGGAGGGTTGTCTCCGAAGGCCCCTTGGCTGGGGGTGTGGGCAGAATTTTTTCCTCGGGTGAGGACTGGCTCCGCTCACAGGGATGGGGAGTTACGGGCAGCGGGGCCTGGGAGGCCAGGCTCAGCCCCCATCCAGGTCTTCCCAGTATGAGTTCACCCTGTTCCCTTCCCCTCAGCTTTGCTGAGACCCCTTGGCAGGAACCCAGCTGATCCAGAACCTCCTTCCCTTCTGGTTGTGACATCCGGTCCCCTGGAGCATGGGGGGGGGGCGTGGGCCTGCAACATGCAGGGGCAGGTGGCTGTGGGGGTGCCCCCCATAGAGACCCACACTCCTGGGCAAATGGTTTCCAGCCTGTCTCTCCAAGCCCCTGCGTGGACCTTTGGAACCTGTTGGACCAGAGCAGGGTGGGTGGGGGGACATGGCCACCCAAGAGCTGGGTGGAGCCTGGTGATAGGTGGGGGCTGGGGTTCAGGATGGACTGGCTGTTTCTCCATCTCCTGCTGAGTTGGCTTTAAGTTAGCGGTGGTGTGGCTCTAGGGGTGCCCTGCCCATGCTGGGGTGCCAGGAGACACACCCCCACCTTCTCCATCATCCCTTGGAATAGGCCTGGCCCCTCCCCCTCCTGAATCAGAAGTTGAAGGGTCACCTTCTCTCCAAGGCCAGGCTCTGAGTCCTGTCCTCTCTCACCTCCTCAGTGACCCTGCAGAGGGTCCCCTCACCCTGCTGGAGCCTTTCTCAGCCTATAAATGTCCTATCCCTTCCCTCTGCAAGGACCCCTCAGACCACTTTGCCCCTCTCTTCTCATGGCTGAAGTTACTGCGTGGTCTCCATTCTCCCCCAGGCCATGCCCTGTGCCTACCCCACTGATTTAACCATCACCAGTGACCTCTTTTTTGCTGAACCCAGTGGATGCTTTTTAGTTCTCATCTTGACCTTCTTTTCCTTGACCTGGGGCCACCTTTGGATGCTGCTGACACACCTGACTTCCTGATACACTTCCACTTGCCTCTCCACGTTCTTCTGGTTTTCTTCCTACTCGCCTGGCTGCTCCTGCTCATTCTCAGACATCTCTTCCGCCCGTCCAGTGTGGTGCCTCATCCTTGGCCCCATCAGCCCCAAGCCAGCTCTTCCTCTGCTCTGGATTTAAGACTCCTGTTGCTTCATCTTGTCTGCCCTTCTTCCTAAACCACACCCTCAAATATCCAGCTACCTCCTGACCTGAGCTCCCCGATGTCCCAGGGCACCTTACCCTTGTCATGTCCCAAAGCTACAGTTCTTGTTTCTCCACCAACGTCCCCTCCCTTCCTGGCCATGTCACTCAAGCCTGAAGCCCGGCTTGGAGGAGTGGCATCCTGTTCTCTCCACATCCACTCACTCTCCCCGAAGCTCTGAGTCCCTCTTGCCCTTCGCTGTCCCACTGCCCCCTCCCCCCTCCCCCTGTCCCCACCTGGGACTAGTGAGGTGGCCGGCCATCTGGTTTCCCCTGCATGCCACTCTCTTCCTGGCTTCTAAAGGATGTTCCTAAAATACAGAGATGATGCTGTTCAGCTCTTTCTTGTTTAAGGAGTCAAGGCCAAGTTCGTGGGCTGCACCTTGGGCTGCGTGCGGCTTCCACAGCCATGGGTCAGAATGCTTTGTGCCTTGATGTCTGTCTGCTTTTGTGAATGCTAGGCACTCCGCTGGAAATGGCGCCCCCCTTGTCCACCTGGCTTACTCTAGACTTGGCTCAGGCACCCCTGTCTCTAGGAAGCCCTCCCTGACCTGCTGGGCTGGACGAAGTCTGTCTTTGGCACACACCCTCATGCTGCCTCGGCGGTCTGCTCACCATCCTGGCTCCTCCCCAGATTGATTCCTCCATGGCAGGGTAGCCCCTCCTGCACTGGTTGCAGGAGCAGCTGAGCCATCTGGGGTCTAGGGATGGGCTTTGGTCACCTGGGAAACGTGTAGGCAAGGGGACCAGCCCGGAGGCATCTAGGGAGAGAGACAGCCAACCTCTCAAGCCATCCATTGTGAGTTCTTAGTGGAACCCCTAGTAGGGGTCTGCCTTGGGCCCCCTCTTGCCAGCAGACCCCAGCAGCCTTATAGACGCTCTGAGCCCTCCACACCCCCTCACAGGACCATAGTTGAGGAGCATGTCCTTCCTGGCTACAAATCTTGGGCTGTTTCTCACTGTGGAGCCCTGGACTGTGTACATCCCCTTTCTGGCCCTCGGGTCCCGTCTGTAAAATGGGGCTGGTGGCACCTACCTGGGAGGACAGAGCTACTTGGTATACGCGGCATGCCCAGAGAAGGGGCCTGACACTTGGTAGATGCTCAAGTGGCACTTGCAGAGCCTATTCCCATATTTCAAGCAAATTAACTGGGACTCAGAGGGGGTGTGACCTAACCCCGGGCACCTGGCGGCCGGCGGCCCAGCGGGACGCCAGGCTCTCCCTCTGCGCCCCCCTCTGACTGCTGCGGCGTGGAGTGGATGGAGGGGCTGCAGTGGGGCCAGTCAGTCCCCCGTGCCCTGGACATCTGGGCACACCTTGTGACCCTGCATCCAATGAAAAGGCTTCAGCAGGAGGGCTCCGGTGCCCACTGTTGGCCCAGAAACTTATGTATGTTTCTGCACCTTGGCTGCCCATGCACAGGCAGCCGCCCAGCCGCCCCGCTGGGTGAGCCAGAGCCGGACTCTGCCGACCCCAGTCATCGGGTCCAGCCTGGAATGGGGGTGGGGCCGTCTCCCACACGCACTCCTTTGGAACCCTGTGCCGTGACCTTTGTCCCTAGTGTTTTGGGGTTCTGAGATGAGCCCAGTGGAGGCGGTGTTTGCCTCATAGGATCCCAGGGGCTCGAGAGCTGGGGCTGGGGCTGCCCCGACTTGCTGTGTATCTTTGGCCCATCAGGGTTTGTCCTGGGGGGTGTCTTTCTCTCACCTGTGAATGTTGTTTGCCCTGCCAGAGGGGCTTTGGGGAGTGTTTTGGGGGTGGACAGCCAGCCCTGGCCGACGGGCCTTTATGGTGTTTGTGTCTCTGCAGAGTGTGGAGCATCAGGATGAAGCCAGCGAGTCGGAGATGAGAAGGACCTCGAACTTGGGCATCATCGAGAACGGGCACCAGCCAGGGGCAGGTAGGGGCCAGCTGCAGAAGCAGGCGGATGGGAAGCTCGGGCCAGGGCCTTGGCGGCCATGCATCTGTGCCAGGCCGTCCCTTCGCTGGGTGAGGGGACTTGAGCCTAAACCCCAACCCACGGAGAGGCTGCCAGGAGAGCAGCCAGCCTCATTCGGGGTGAAGTAGATTTCAACACAGAAGGACATGGGAGATCTTGGAAGGTGGTGAGCTTGCCTGTTTCTGGAAGAATGCAAGCAGGGGCTGAAGCGTTGTCCAAGCCTGAACAGGGTGGAGAGTGGACCAACAGGTCACCTAGTGTTCGTTGACCTGGCTGTGAGGGGATTGGAGCGGAGCAGTGAAAAGTTCCCATTACGGGGAGGCCAGGGAGGCTGGAGTGGTCAAGGAGGCCTTCCTGGAGGAGGTGGGAGGAGGGTCCAGAGAGGCTGGAGCCCTGGGGCGCCTGAGGCCCCGGTGATGCCATAGCTGACACTACCAACCCCTCTTGTCACATGTTCCAGGTCCAGGTGATGGACCCCCTGACGCTGCCCAGACCTTCTCGGCACCTGAGCTCCCCAAGCCTCGCCCCATGAGCCTCTCCTTGGGGCTGCCCCACCAGCCGGTCACGGCCGTCACGCGGGTCTCTGAGAGGTTCTCTGGAGAGACCTCAGCCACAGCTCTGTCGCCCACGTCGGCTGCCATCCTGGGGGCGCTCAGCTTGAGCCCCAGTGAGGCACCCACATCCTGGTCTCCCAGCCCCAGTGGTAGGAGCTGGGGTTTGGGGCTGACCCCAACTCTGGTGCGGGAGGGTGGGCAGGGGCTGGGGTGTTTAGCCAGAGACTCAGAAAATATGGGGCCAAGCCCCAGCTCCCCTGCCTGTCACTGTGACTCCCTCCTCCAGCCCACCGCACCCTCCAGTGGGACCCAGAGACGCCATGAAATAGCAACGCCCTTTGCAGGTGACAGCCGAGGCTCTTACTGCAGGTTGAGGCTGTGGCTGGAAGGTGGCCCATTTTGGCATAGTCCCCTCCAGGCCTGACTTGGGCCTGTGGTCAGGCCTCAGTGGTAGACCTGGGGTGGGGCCCTGTGGGCTTCCAAAATGAGGGTTCAGGAACCTAATGTTCGCTGGACACAGCACAGGGGGCTCTGGGCCCTGTGCTCTCAACAGCAGGTAGGGACACTTTAACAGACCTTTTATGTCATTGCTTATGTTCCCAGCCTCCTTTCTTCTCAGCTGTTGGCTGAGGAGGGACCAGCATAGCCCAGTCCATGGGGTGACGCTGGGCAGACCGTGCAGGGCCGCGGCAGCTGAGGGCGACAGGCAGGGGCTGGTCCTCCCTGAGACGGGGGGTGGTTCTCTCTCTCCCTCCCTCTGTCCTGCAGAGAAGACTTCTCTCCCGCGGTCTTTGTTGGGCTCTGGCTATGGGGCAGTGACAGCAGGCAGGAACCATGACAGGTGAGTTGGGGCCCATGTTTCTGGTGGGTGGGGTCATTGCTCCCTAGGTGTCACCTGGGCTTTGCCTTGGACCCAGGGTGCCCAGGCCACCTGCAAGGAGCCCCCTGTGCACTCCAGGGGGAGGCACACTCCCGGGCTTGTTGCCTCTGGAGAACCAGGGCAGCAGGGTTGCTGGGTAGGATCAAAGCAGGGGAAATGAGGCAGTGGGGTTTGGTGGAGAGTTTTCCTTTTTTCCTGTATTGTTTTTAGAGAGAGGAAGGGAGAGGGAGAGAGAGATAGAAGCATCGATGAGAGAGAACATCGATTGACCACCTCCTGCATGTCCCCCACTGGGGATCGGGCCCACAACCTGGGCATGTGCCCTGACTGGGAATTGAACCGGCGACCTCTTGGTACATGGGTCAACGCTCAGCCACTGAGCCACACCGGCCGGGCAGTGGAGAGTTTTGTTTGGAGAAATAGGGCTATGGGCTGGTTTCTCTATGGACCCTTTAAAGCAAGTCTGTCAGAAGGTTGGGAGGGGTGCTTCCGTCCCCCTGGAAGGAGGTTAGGAGGATCTCTACTTTCTATCCATCCATCTGTCCTGCTAGGGTCCCTCAGAGCCTGGCACTTCCTGCCTCTGGGCTGTGGAGGTGCCTGGACAGGCCAAAGGGTGTGCTACACGCTTCCCCCAGGCATGTGGGTGACCCCCTGGACCCCTGGCCAGCTGGACTATGATTGGAGATGGGGATGGGGAACTGGCTTGGCTTTCTTGTTTCTTTTAATAATAAAAGAATTGTGACTTTCTGGCAAACTGTTCCAGGGGGAAACAAAGGGGGGCTTATCTGGTGGTGGGGGAGGGGAGTCTGGTTCTGGTGGGACTGGTTCTGGTGCCCCTCCTGCCTGAGAGGATGTCCCCCGCCTGCCTCGGGCACGGCAGGACACCCACACCCAGCGGGGGGCCCTTGCTCCCTTCCCGAGCTGGGGTGCTGGCCAGGCCTGCTTCAGACAGCAGCTCAGTTCAGAAAACCTGCCTAACCGGTCAGAGCTCGGAGCAGGTGGCTTTCTTCCTCCGCCTGCCACCAAGCCCCCTTCCTGCCTCATTTCACACTCGGTGGGGAGGAGCCCAGGGCCTGTGTGGGCTGGTGATGGCTGGACCTACACTTCTGACTCTGGTTCTGTCCTCAGCCCACCTCTGGTGACCCCGCCCCAGTCGTCCCCACCCTCACAGCTGCCAGCCTCCACTCAGGCCCATCGCCCCGGGGAGAGCCGCAGGGAGCTGGTGAGGTCGCAGACGCTGCCCCGGACCTCCAGTGCGCAGGCCCGGAAGGCCTTGTTTGAGAAGTGGGAGCAGGATACAGTGGGCAAGTACGAGCACTCATCCTCAAACCAGGCCCCGCCCCCTGAGTAGGCCCCGCCCCCGACGGGTCCAGGACGCACGGCCCAGGGATGCTGCCCTGTGCTGGTCCCCGGGGCTCCTTCCACAGGTGGAGGCTGAGCCACAGGGTGGGCTGGGTTAGGGAGCCAGGCAGGGCCTGATGAGGGTCGTCCTCTGCCCAGTGCCCAGGGGGGCCCCCGGGCTGTTTTTGCACCCAAGTTCCTTGTGAGCCGTGGCCCTTTGGTCTCCGGGAGTGACTGGAAGACCAGGAGGGCAGTCGGTGGGGATTCCCAGCAGGAGCTAGGAAGTGACACCCAGGACCCGAGTGCCCAACCGCCCACTGTCCTGCCTCAAACCCTCCCATTGGAGCTGGGGTTCCCTCTTGCACGTGTATCAGCACCTGTCAGTGCTGGTAGTGACACCAGGCCTGTGGTGATGAAAGGACCCTAGTGCTGGCTCCCGAGGCTCCGACTCAAGTGAGGGGGACAGAGCAGAGCGCCTTCCCAGTGGCCCAGACAACCTCGTCTTGGCTGTTAGAGAGTGTCCTTGGGGCCCAGAGGGGAAACCATCCTGCTATGCTAGGAAAGAGGGAGGCTCAAGGAGGGGTACAATAGGGGTTAAGGGGTTCCAAAGGATGCCTGGAGGGTGGGAATGGGGTGGTCCTGCCAGATACCACCAAGGGCGACTGTGTAGCTGGTCTGGGGTCCTGGACGTGGGCACGGGGGTGAGGGAGGCTGTGTCCTGACAGGACGTCTGCCCGGGGTGACTAGAGCAGATGGGCCATCTTCCCCATGGTGTGGGGGTGGCTGGGGGCGCCCCTGCTTCTCAGAGGAGGTGGCAGCTGAGGGCTGGCCCCACGGCAGGCCTGCACTCTCTCCACAGGGGGCGGGGCGAGGCCCGGGCCAAGCTCAAGCGGTCCCAGAGCTTCGGGGTGGCCAGCGCCAGCAGCATCAAGCAGATCCTGCTCGAGTGGTGTCGCAACAAGACTCTTGGCTACCAGGTGAGCCCAGGGTTCCCCCCGGCCCGACCAGAGGCCTAACTAAGCATTGCCCCCCCTCCACTTTTGTTCCCCTGGCCAGGGTAAGAACCCTAGGTGGGGGTGGAGGGTAGGAGCTACCTGGTCAGCCCCTAGCCAATCCCAGGAGTCTCGTGTCTGGACCCAAGCAGACTGGTCTAGTGCCCCTCATGGGGTGAGGTCTGGTGACTATGGTTGATGGCTGCGGCTGAGCTGAGTAGATGGGGGATTATGGGGAGGGGCTGGGAGAATCTGGGTCGGGGAGCTGAGATGGGGCCAGGCACCCCTCCCCTGCCTTCATGGACCGTGGCTTCCTTGCAGCACGTGGACCTGCAGAACTTCTCCTCCAGCTGGAGTGACGGGATGGCCTTCTGTGCCCTGGTGCATTCATTCTTCCCCGACGCCTTTGACTACAGCGCCCTGAGCCCCACGCAGCGGCAGAAGAACTTTGAGCTGGCCTTCACCATGGCTGAGTGAGTACAGGGCAGTGGCACTGGCTGCCAGCCCTGGCCCAGCCCCAGAGCCCACTTCTGCCTGGCTGGAGCCCAGGGGCGGGCAGCGTGTGGCGCCGTCATCCTCAGGGCCACGGAGGCCATTCAGTCTGCTCTCCCCTGTGTGGATGGGAGACAGTCCTGGGCTAGGGATCCTCCTGGTCCCCCAGCACTTGTTCGTGGAGCTGGGCTCTCTCCTCCATGCACCTGCCCTCTCTGCTGGGTGGCTGGCCTCTGGCGGACAGCCACAGACAGGGTGTGATGGGCAGTGGGACGAGGTCCCCCAGAGCGCTGCGTCTGTCCTCCCTGGGCTGGTGGAGAGATGCGGTTGCCTGGGAGAGCCACAGCTGCTGACAGCAGGAAATTCAATAATGTCTGCCTGGGGGACATTTAAAAAACTTCTCCAATAAGTAGATTTGGCTTCCCTGAACATTGTTCTAGTGTTTCACATGAAATCGCCTGCCCTCTTCAGGCCCGCTCATCGGGTGGTGGGGTGGGGGCGGTTTGGGGATCAGGGCGCTCTCGGGAGGTCAGCTGGGGATTTGGTTATTGTCTGAGGGCAGCCCCAGAGCGGCAGGAGCAGGGCGAAGTGGGGTGTATCTGCCAGGGTTCTGGGGAGTGCATTCCCACGGAGCCATGATGGACTCCTTACAAAGGTGTGGGCAGGAGTGAGGGAGTGGAGCCAGGTGCAGTGCAGGGCCCTCTGGCTACTCAGCCTGCAGTTATGGGCACAGGGGAGCACAGCTGTGTGCAGAGGGCTGGCGGTAGGAGCTATGCTCTGGGGCAGTGGGTGTGACCAGCTCAGTGACTGGCAGGGAGGGAGCTGAGGGGATTAAGACTCTGCTCTCCCCCTCCCCCACGGCAGGGCTTCCTGTTGGCTGAACACGGGTAGAGGGCAGGACAGCCATCGCTGCACCCGGCGAGGCCCCAGAGCATGTGGCCACAAATGAGTGTGTTCAGGGCCGCCTGACACTCAGCCTTGTGGAGTTGAGGGGAGGAAGGCCTCCCCACAGCAGTTTCCTGGAGGGAACTCCTCATCCCCTCCAGCTTGCCCACCTGACTTTGTGCCAGTGACTTAAGCCTCTGCTTCGTTTCTGGTCTGCGTGCCCAGGGCCCACGTTAGGAGGTTCTCTCCTGTGCTTGTGGAGTTGGAGGAGTCCTCACCCCAAGCCTTGCCCGGCCTCCTCACTGCATTCCCTGCCCTACCTCCCAGCTCCCTGCACCCACTGAAGCCTGGCCAGGGAAGGAGCCTGAGCCAGGAGCCAGCAGGTGACGAGACCCGCACCTGGGACTGAAGGGCTCACCTGAGCCGAGGCGGCTGCCCCTCCGAGCAGCAGCTCTGGGGGCACAGTGGAGGCCTGGCTCCCGGCTCCTTGGCCCGAGCTGTTGGAACACGAGCATTGCCTCTGTTGTGTTGTCTCGGATGACGCGCTTGGACTCTCGGTCCCCTTGGGGTCATAAGAACGCCTTGTGTACTTAAAAAGCCTTCTCTTTCTTGGCTGCTTGGGATCGGCTGTCATCCTAATTGCAGAAACAGCTTTGGACGGAGTGTGTAATGCAACTGGATCCAGACAATGGTGAAGCAGGGCCAAGTGCACGATGTTGGGGAGGGGGCTGCCTCCCGAGGATGAGGCCCAGCTGCCTGAAGCCTAGGCACGGGGACAGTTGGAAACCAGACTCTCCGAGTCCGCAGGGCCGGGTCTCTGATGTGGGTACCCCAAGACCCACCCCATCTGTGGGAGGTCACATGTCACTTACAGTTTTCCATCCAGTCCAGTGGGCCAGGTGGTGCCAGCTCATGCCCTGGCTGCCTTGCTGGCCCTCAGCCCTGGCCCTGTGGCAGGCGGAGGGAGGCCCCGGGTCACGGGGTGGTGGCCCTGCACCCCGGCTTGCAGGGAACACAGCTTCCCTTGGCAGCCAGAGCCAGAGCGATTTGGGGCTACGCTTTCCCAGCATGAGGTTTGAGCGCGGAGCCTCCAGACTCCAAACAGATGTTTCTTCTGTTCCCAGCCCGGGGGAGCAATGGTGGAGGCTGCTCCAGGTTTTGCCTCCCTTCTCCCCAGAGCAGACAGCGGGGGTAAAAAACTTGGCCCGGCTTCCCTGTGGCCTGAGTCTGCTCCTGGCTGGGGAGAGGAGGATGGTCTGCCAGGCCCCCGAAATGCATTCTTGTTTTTCTGCTGACTCGAGGGGGCCAGGAGGGGCACTCACAGCAAGCCTGCGTGGGGAGCTTGCTCGGAGCCTGGAAGGTGCCTCCCCAAGTGAGTCATCAGGGGATTATCTCGAGGGTACTTAGCCGAGAGGGCTTGAAGGTGGGCCCCCTGCCCAAGGCTTCTTGGGAGGACAGCAGCTTGGATCACCCAGTTACGTGGACAATAGGCTGGTTAGGGAAGATGGACAGAAAGCGCAGACACCTGCGTGAGGATACGTCTACCAGTGTCATCACAGACATCCTGCAGGTTGCCAGCCGCGGCCAGGCAGACATGCAGGGCTGCTGGAGGCCCTGAGGAGCCATGCAGGCGGCGAGATGGAGCTAAGAAAGGCCACTGGGAGCAGGCAGGGTGGGGGGAAGGAGCCTGGGCTCTGATGAAGGCACGACCTTTGGAAGGACAGGGAAGGGGACTCCAGACACTGGGCCACCTCACATCAGGGAGGGAAAGTTTCCAGGTCCTTCCGTGAGCAAGTGCCTTCAGAGCACAGAGACACAGCGGGACCTGCGGAGCGCAAGTGGCTGGTGCTTCCCCTCCCCCCACGAATTTACGGCCCCAGAGATTCCTCGTGGCCTAATCCGTGTGAGCGGATGCAGTGTTGACAGCGAGATGAGCCCTCTCTGTCGGACAGGTGTTCAGGACTTGGAAAGCGGAGGACCAGCCCTTTTTATGGCTCCTTGACCCTCTGCACCCTTTTCCCCTCATCTCCCGTGGAGCCAGACATGCGGCCTGAGGCTCCCACTTGCCCTGCGGGGAATGTGCCCTGCTCTCGGGTTACCCTGTGCAGAAGGGGCTTCCAGGCTATTTGTAGTGTCCATGTGTCTCTGCCTAAAACCAGCTGAAGCCCTGGCATCCTGGTCTTAGAGAAGGCTTAAATAAATAAAAATAGCCCCTCCGAGCCCTCTCCTGTCTCCCTTCCAGGCCAGCCCTGTGGTGGCTGAAGATCACAATAGACCAGGGCAGGAGAAAACCCCGCTAAAGCTTTTTTAACCCCAAATAAGGTGTGGGGCTAAGCAAGTTCATTTAAAGTGGCTGGTGCACAGATGTCCCCTCTGGTTCTTGCTGTGCAGTGACATTTGGAGTGATTTGTATTTTCTCCTTTGGACTGTTCCAGGTTGTTTGAATTATTTAAAACAAGCTTGTATCATCTATCCAAAAACTTTTGTTTTGTTTTGTTTTTTATTTAAAAGGCACCTGGGGCCTCTAATATTTAAGGCTTTGACGGTTTTGTAGACGTCGCCGATCATTACTTTCCTTTTCTCATCTCATAAGCGGTGTCCTCGGCTTCTGGCAGTCTCGTCTTGACTGCTGGGGTGGGAGCCAGAGGCAGGGGTCCGATCCCTGGTTGTTTGCTGGGGAAGCCGGCCCCTTGCCCACCACTACCTCTCTGGGTAGTAGAGGGTGACACCAAGGTGAGGCCTTAGTGCCGGTCCCAATCGCCACCCTGACCTCCAAGACTCGCTGCCTGGACAGGGATGTCGTTACTCTGAGGGTCAACGCAACTTCTAGAATAAAGGAGGGAGTCAGCTTGCTCTCCTGCACAGGTTGGACAGCCCTGGGACATGCCAGCGATTTTGGACGTGCGCCACGGGGGGGGGGGGGGGCAAGAAAGAAATGTGAACTCGCTCAACAGAAAGGGCCCAGGTACCCTCTGGGGGCAGTGAAGGAACCAGCATATTTAGTTTGAGGGGAAGACATGGATGTGAAGACCCTCTTCCAACAGGGTTCTTCTGTGGGGGGAAGTTAACCTGAGAATAGCTTTGTGAAACCAACAGGTGTAAAGAATCAAGAGAGAAAATGGTGCTTGGAGGATAGTTCAGTTCTCTTCTGAGGCTGAGGTTCCGGGTTCTAATGCTACACACATTTAATAGGGGTTCTGCTTAGGCCACGCTGCCCATGGCGATACCCGAAGCTCACAGGCATCTGCTCGCACACACCTGAGGTCCTCTGACAGCAGCCCTGGGCTGCAGGTGAGGCGGAGGGCACCCGGTGCTAAGTGAGAGCTCAGGAAGGTGAACTCAGGTGTCTGGAGAACTCTCAGAAGAACTCGGATTTTCAGACCTTGACCCTTGTCAGGGTGCCGACTTTCCTGACACTGAGCCGTCTGGCCCGACCTGAGGAGCAAAGGTGCCCGCTCATTGGGCCAAACCACTCGCCACCCCACAAAGCTGTTGGATTCTCTTACAGGCCACCCGCTCCAAACCAAGGGGGAGGCGGCAATGGGATCTGGGACAGATGTCTCCATTTCGCCTTGACATTTGGTTTCTGATAGAAGGCCTGGCGTCAGGCCGGCACCACCAACCAGGGCCCTGTGCTAATGTCATGGTCCTTGTCTTTGGAGCATGCAAGCCCAGGAGCGGGGGGGGACTGGTAGAAAGTAGTGCTGCATGAACCACGGGTACGGGGTCACAGCTCTGGGGTACAAAGCACCCAAAGACACACAGCCTCCCCAAAAAGGAGCAGAGGGGGAGCCCGCTGGGAGGGGGAGCAGAGGCAGGAGGCTGATTTTCTGCCCAGGAAATGGCACGGAAAGGGGACGCAACTGGTAGAGCCCGAATTGGCACTCGGCTACCTCGATCTCCAATTTGGGCCTCTTCTCCCCAGTGACCCCCTCTGCTGCTTAAAGTGAGGCACAGTAATAAGAACAGAACAGAACAGTACTAATCTGCCATGTTTATTGAGCTTGTTCCACGTGCCAGACACTGTTCTATCTTGTTTGCATGGATCAGCTCATTAGTCCTCACACCACCTTGTGAAGGGGCTATAATTCCAGATGGGGAAACCGAGGCACGGGGAATTGAAGTCTCCTGCCCAAAGTCATGATGTAGCTAGTAAGGATGGAGGTGGGACAGGAACCCTGACAGTGATGCACTTAGTGAAGTGGGGTGAGGAAGACCGGGGACCCCCGGCGCTACAAAAGTACGCACAGCCGTTGAAGGAAGGACACTGGTGACTGGACCAAGTGCGCTTGCTTTGCCCTGTTGGTTCTGCCTGCTAACGCCAGGCCAGCCACATCGGGTGCCCTGGGAAGTGTTGCTTGGCATCGCAGAGGACGTTGGCTGTTGTCTCAAGACTCAGTGCTGCGATGCACAGTGCCATGTGCCGGAGCCATGGATACTGATCATCCTGCCTCTGTGAAGCCGGGGCCTCCCGCCGCCTCCAGGCTGGGATGGCGGAGGGAACAGGGTCCTCTACACCCAGTGGAAGGCCCACTTCTCACCCGCACCTGCGCCAGTGGCCAGAGTTAAACCGGTGTCTCCCATAGCATGAGGCACAGGGCCCCGGGAAGGGGGGGTAGGTGATTTTAGCCAATATTTTAAACTTTGAGTTGTAACCCATCAACAGGGAGTCAACTTAATTTAGTGGCTCGTAATCAGCATTAAAAAAAAAAAGTGGGAAGAGAAATAAAGATGAAATACTCTAGAGAAAATACCAGCAGTAGAAAGGGCCAGTATTTTTGTGAAACATTATTTCCACATATATGGACAAGTGTGGCTGAAACGTGATGAAAAATCCCTTGCTAACCATGGGTCATGGTGGAAATTTTTTAGAAACACTCTTTTAGGAGGCGTAGGGGTGAATTTATTTGTACTTTATTCTTTTGACAGTAGGTCCTCGAATAACATTTCATTCAACATCGTTTGGTTATAATGTTGCCGAGATTCTGTAGGGACTGAACTGTTGTTACCAGCCTGTGGTAAAATTGGTTTCATGACACATCATTTTGCTAACGTCGCAGAACCGACCCATGATGTTCACCGAGGACTTGCCATACATTTATTTTTATAGCTTACGCCGATTTTCCATATACGGATATACATTGACATTTTTTAAGTTAAATTTAATTTTAAATGTTTAGTAAAATTAGGCTGAATTAATAACATTTACTTTCATGGCGAAGTTTAATTTAGTGAAATTGAATTAGACTGAAAATTGATGTCGGTCTTGGTACATCAGAATATGAGCTGCATTGGTGCTTCCGAACGTGGGAGTTTGAGTCCACAGGTTCCCCTGGGGTGATCTGCGTTCTCTGGTGGGGGGCACTTGGGAGCCCCAGCTCCAGACTGAGTGCTGTGTGTGGTGCTGGTCGTGGGGCTGGCGGGAGGCGAGACCGTCGCTCTGACCCGGCCTCTGTGTTTCAGGAACCTGGCCAGCTGCGAGCGCCTCATCGAGGTGGAGGATATGATGGTGATGGGCCGCAGGCCGGACCCCATGTGCGTCTTCACGTACGTCCAGTCGCTGTACAACCACCTGCGCCGCTTTGAGTGAAGCTCCGTGGGCCCGGAGAGCCGCACAGCAAGCCCGGGAGGAGACCGTGGGGCCGCTGTGTCCCCGAGTCCCGGTGGCCGCGGGGCGCTGCGTTCCGGGGTGCGCGCCGTGGGCCCCGCGGTGCGAGACTGCGCTCCGGCCCTGCCCGCCGCGTCCCGCGGGCAGCACCGCCTAGCTGTGCCCCCACGGCGCTCATCCCCGCAGGGCCTTGGGGGAAACGGGAAATTACCAGAGAGAGAAATTGGTGCTAATTCCCTTCCTTAAAAAACGCTTGTCCGTAGATCCCAGAATGCTAAATCACAATTTTGCCTCTAGTCGATCTGCTCCCTTGGTTTCACAGGGTTACATTGATTACCAAGTGTTTTTTTTTTTAATCAAAATACCCAGAGTTTTTTACTTCCTCACACTATTGTAGTTTCCTTTCCTCCCTCCCTCTGGGCCACTGCCAGGAAACAGAGAGACCGCTTAATCAGCAGCTTGACAAAGAAGACCGAAGTCTTGGGAAGAAAGGGTTTAATCAGTCCCAGGTCCTGGGCAACAGATGACCTTCAAGTCACCTCGGCTCTCTGGGGAGATGGGAAGGCTCTCGCCGGGTCCCAAAGTGTTCCTTTCCTTCTCAGGAGGCCCCGCAAGTGTTTGGCTAAGAATAGGCTTTCCTGCAGTTAACACTTTGGGAAAGGACCGGCCCTTTGTGGAGAGGTAGTTTTTATTCACAGCTTTTTAAGGGGATTTGCTACAGATATTTATAAAAAGGAACTCCATCTGTACCGTTGACCATTTGTACATAAAAGATGTGTCGAACTTCCCCTGAGGTTTGTTATTTCTGTTTGGGAGATGCGGGGCCCATCACTAAGACATTCTGCACACATTCCAAATGAAAATCGACTCAGATGCCCCCTTTTACTGTCTCTGTACCTGAATCACTTGTCGGAAGGTTGAAAGTCACATTTGCTCATCTCCGTTGTGGAGGGAGCATGAACAGAGAGTTCCCCTTGTGGGCCTGCCCCTGGGTGTTACTGACATGTCTGTGATAACAGTGGTCCACCACGCAGGTTCTGGGGTGGACCCACACGTGGAGGCAGCCCATCCAGAAACACCGGTTTATTTTCACAGCTGTCTGGTGGTAGGCTTTCCATAGAACATCTGTCCAGTCTTTAAAGCCACAGCCATTCACTTACTCTTATTCAAGAACCATTTTCTAATTGGGTTGGATTTTAGCCCTGAACGTCCAGAGATTCCCTTTAAGGAGCTGATGTGTATGTATCATCAGCTCATGCAGTGGGTCAGAGTCACATACGTGTCCATTGTGCACTGGCACAGAGCTCACTTGGGGTGGCAGGGGGAACATGGCCGAGCTTGGTGGGTGGGTGAGCAGCGACTCGGCAGTCTTGTTCAGTCCGTTGGGTGCTCCCACAGTGGGACCACTCCCTTTCCAGCTCTCCCCTCTGGGAGGCTCAGGTAGGTGATTCCTATTAGCAAAGATCCAGTGCCTGTTCCTTTGTCAGGTTGCAGCCTAGGGTTTCAGACCTAAAGCCAATTTGGAAACACAAGGGCTCTATAAAAAGCCTGCCTATATGTTACTGAATATTCACACATGTTCAATGTAGCTCTCCTGAATTGCAGACATGGCCTTGCACCTTTGCACGTAAAATAGAGCAGGTCCTGCCAGAATCAGGAACGATTTCTCTTAAACCTGAGGGGTAGTGTCCCTCATGTCTCACAATCAGCATAATACAGACTAGATATTTTTAAAGTAGGTTCTACAATGTGGTTGCTTGTGGTCTTTGGGGAGGGCTCAGATTTGATGGGTTTTAAACTTGATCACCTCTAGGACACAGCCTGCGGGTTCCAGGCCACGGGGGAAAAGTACAGCAAGGCCACACAGTCTCAAGACATTTGGAAAACACTGGATTAGATCAGGGTTACGTGAAAGTTTCCATTTGTGAAATTCGATTTCAGGTTGCCTTCTGCCACGGTATAAATGCTTTCACATCTTTTTTTTTTTTTTTTTCTCCCCTCTCCTGAGAGAATCATTTCCCGGAGCTGCTTGTAAGATTCTTCTGCTTTTTCCAGATAGAGTTCTTCACCTGGATTTTGTTAAAACTTATTAAATCTGACCAAATTGGCTTGTGTGTTTCCCTGAAGTGAACGTTTCACCAGAGCCAAGATGGGTTTTAGCTTTTCTGACAGCTGATGGCTATTTCTCAAGGCAAGTGAGAGCTTATAAGCACTTTCTGAATATGATATAGCACATGCCGGTTAGAGGAGAACGCACAGGCCAGGTGTTTGGGGAACAATTTGTTAAAGCCAATGAATTTCGCAAATGTGTTAGATGATGAGAAGTTCTCATCTTTCCCCGTCGCAGTGGTCAGTACCCTGTAACTGGAGGAGACAAGCAGGAAGGGCTATTTTCTGCCTTGCCAGGTCTGTGACTCCAGGCAATTAGATGGCAGACTTAAAATGCTGATTAAGTTGGTCAATTTCTTGAGCTGGTGACAGGTCACCAGCTCATTCTGATGAATTGATTATGCCCGGTGAGATGGCCAACTTGTTTTTTCCTTCTCCCAGCTAGGCGCTCGTAACTACAGGATCATTAATGAGCAGTGATCACTGGCTTCTGCTGAATGATAACTGTCCTTGGATTGATTGTTATCCTTCATCTCTCTTGCTTCTAAGATTTAGTTTGGGCTTGCTTTTAGAGCCTTGGATCTCACCTCTCCTGGTTCTCGGACTTGCGTTGAAGTCAAGCAGCCCCCATCTCGACTCTCCACCAGCATCTCATGACTAGGTTCAGCGCTGTCATGGAGGTGCCCACACTCTCTGGCTGTCTCTTTCCACGCTCCTTCATGGCCTCCTTTCCCTCTACCCATCGCCCCCTGTGCTTCCTCCGTCTTACACTCTGTGGTCCGTCTTCTACAGCAGGGGTTCCTAACCCAGGGCTGGTGTGGGCTTTGGGAATCTGGATGCCCGAATAGAATGTTTTACTCCCCTTTTCCCTCTGAAACTGCGTTTTCCCTCCTTCTCCTGGGTTTGCTACCTCAACAAATGGCAGCATGGTCACTACCTGTCGTCCATGCTGGAGACCTGGCTGTCACCTTGCTCCTGGGCACCGTGGCCCTCCTGCCAAAGCAACTCACTTCCTTTCCCGCGTGTGAATGAGGTATTTGTGAAACCCTTGCCAATGGAGGACTTTTTCAAGATTTTTCTTCTATTGAGCTCTGAAGCATCGAAGCTTTTGATGTTCCCCAAGGTTTTATTTGGAAAATTCTCAAATTTACTGGATAGTTGAAAGAAGAGTTGTGTGAACTTGTGTATTCCTTTGCTTTGATCGTTGACATTCTGCCATGCTTGTTCTGTCTCCCTCCATTTTCTGAGCCCTTTGGAATAAGGTACAGATATCGTGACACTCACCCCTAAGGATTTCAGCAGATATTTCCCAAGAAGAACATTCTCCTGCGTCAGCACAATGTGTTAGCATACCCAAGAAATGGGACATTTGCTCATCTAATGTACAGTCTATACTGACATTTTCCTGGTTGTTCCCACAGGCCTTTCATGGTTATTAAAACATTTTAGAAGCCCAGTGTCCAGTCAGAGTTTGCACACACTGCATTTGGTTGCTGCGTCTCTCTTATCTTTTTAAGTCTAGAACAGTCCCCCGCTTTCTATTTACTGTCTCCTTTCCATGTGACTGCTGTGAGCAGCCCAGGCGGGTTGCCTTGGAGACTGCCCGGACTCTGCTTTTGTTCGTTTCCTCCTGATTAGATTTGAGTGAAGCGTGTTTGGCAGGATTTCAACTCAGGTGATAGATACTTTCATAGGCGCGTTTGCCCACGGTTGGTCCTGGAGGTTTGGTTGGGTGGGTAAGGGGTGTCCACCACACCTCTTTATGGCCCTCTTTCCCCGGGGAATCAGTGTGGGGGAGTCTTAAGGCCATGTGAGTATCCTGTTCCACACCCCATTTAGGATGATCAATGGATGATTTCTGCCGAGATCAACATGTTATTATATTAGAAAAGGAAAATGGCGATTTAAAAAATTCCATCATTTTTTCCCTATATTTATTAACTGGCATTCGTCTGTAAAGAAGGCCTTTCCTTCTTCCTACCTTATTTTGTGAGTATTACTGTGGACTCATGGATTCTTTTCTTTTTTTTTTTTAAATGAAACGTCATAAGTTTTTATTTTCTGAGGCATGCTTTTTTTTTTATCCTCACCCAAGGAAATTTTTTTTGCATTTATCTTAAGATAGAGCGGGAGGGAGAGAGGAAGGAAGAGAGAGAGTCACATCGAGTGGTTGCCACCGACACGACTCCAACTGGGCCGGGGACAAACTGCAACCAAGGTACGTGCCCTTAGCGGGAACTGAACCCTGGGTCTCTCTGTTCTGCGGGCCGATGCTCTAACCGCTGAGCCAAACCGGCCAGGGCTCTTCATTTTTTATTTTTATTCAATGTGTTATAATTCCTTGCTGTCATTGTTTTTGAAGCTCAAATTGTCCAAAGTTTGTGCAGTGGGAGAAGAGAGCTCTTGTGTCCTTTTGACAAGTCCCTCTGCCTTTGAACATTCCCTTGCCTTGTGGCACGAAGTGTTCGAACCCTGGACTCAGCCATTTCTTCAAGCAACCCTGGTCTCTCTTAGTGGGGAATAGTACTGATCAGTCTAGACACAGTAAGCAGGTGTGTTCACAGGTACAGGGTGTGATGCTTCTACGCCCGTTCAATGAACAGAGCTAAGACATTTTATATGGAGATGCCTCCAAGAGGAACGATACCACCAGTGTAAATCCAGGAGCACAGAATTCACCTGTGCTCTTCTTTATTCCATATTTATAGTTCTGTTTCTCCGACAGTCCTGATTTCCATCCATTTCATTACACAGGGGTGGGCGAAAGTAGGTTTACCAGTGGTTCATACGGAAAAAGACACACAGGTTATGATGACTACAGTAGCTTTATTAACTCAGAAGAATGTCGGCTGGCACAGTAAACCTGTTGCGCACCACGGTCCTTACACATTTCTTCTGTGCTACGATGCACAAACAGCCATTTCAGAATTTTAAAGTTGATGCCACTGCCAGTAACAAACCCACTAAATAAAGTTCTGCA